CTGGGCAGAAAACATGACTCTGCCACTGATGGGCTGGACTTCAAGGGGGGGGTTGTTTCCTCTGGGAATCAGAAATGCCTGAGGATGATGCTGAGCTGGGTGCCCATTTCTTGCCTGGTTTCGATGCTCTCTGATGGTCAGTACAGGACATTCCCGAGCAGCATTCCCAGATCGGCTCCTGTTTTAAGACTGTATTCTGCTGTGGCTGCTCTACAGCCTGGACCTCAGATATTTTTGTCTACCTAGGAACTTTCATCACCAGTGGGATTTCTTGGAAGTGCTCTGCTGGAAAACCAAGTGCTGATTTGATCTTGTGAAGTGCTGCCAAACAATATTAGCAGTTTTAACTTCCCTGCTGTGGCGTCATCCCTCGTTCCCCCCGCGAGAAATCTGCAAAGACTGAGCTGCTCCGTCTTTCCAGTTCATGGGGAACCATTTGCTGCCAATCTTCAGGAGGAAACCTCACTCCTCCTCTGTGGCTAGAACCACTGCAGAGCATTTCATAAGGCAAAAGCCACAGCCCCTGAGTAACCACCTTCTCGAGTGCCGGGCTGAAGGTCTCAGCGAGCACGAGTGCAAGGCAGAGCTGAGGAGGAGGAGGAGGAGGAAGAGGAGGAAGAGGAGGAGGAGGAGGAGGAGAAGGAGGAGGAGAAGGAGGAGGCTTCTTGCAGGTCGGTCCCTAACCTTCAGTCTCGCTCACCCAGGGATCTGGAAGATCTCTTAGGTCCTAAGATCTCTTAGCTTGGCCCAATGAAATGAGAAGGTTTTGTTGTTACTGGCTGCTGAGAAAATGAGTGGATGACTCATGCGTCTTCTGCCACATGCTGCTTTTACAATTGGTTTGTTGAAACTCCAGACAACTGGGCTTTTATCAGCTAAAAAGGGAAATGAGCTCAGTTACTCTGTGTAAATCCAGAGCAATTTATTTGTATACTGAGGATTTAAACCTATGACACGGTGATCACATTTGCGACAGCCAAATTCCCTCTTGACGTTCCATCTCCCTTTTGGTTTAAGAATGTCCTGATGACCGAGGTCTTTCGGCTTTTCCAGCTTGATTAGATCTGGGGCATCTTTCTGATGGATAATCCCTGTTCCCTGCTCGTCCCTCTCCTAATGACTGCACAGCACAGATGAGCCCCAAGAAAGAGAAGCCAATTTACTCCCCTTTTCCTTGGGGCCCTTTTGATGCTGTACCATGCTTGGCTTACACAAAAGTTTGCATCATCTGATCTTCCACGCAAAGGATCCCAGAATGCAGGGAGATGAAAGAGTCATACCACTGACGGTTACCCTGAAAATCCATTTTACGCACGAAACACGGAGCGTGTGTCTCCAACAGGAAATGCCAGAGCTGGGAAGCAGATGTGAACATGAGATACTGCTGAAAAGTTAAACAGGAATCGACAAGACCTGCTTTCGGAGATGGCCACTTTCAACGTTTTATGGACTGCGACGCATTTTGCAGAGTAAGCTGTTCTGCTTGTTATTCCTTATCATCTTGCCTGCCTCAAAAAAGGAATTAGCAAAGATCTGAATGGAGGAAACCACGAAACACTATTTATATATCTTCTCAGGCACTCAGTTCTGCAGTAGCTCACCATACAGCGCCGTGCAATATGGTGTTAAAACGCCTTTAATCCCCCGGAGGTCCGGTCTGAGCTGGTAGTGCAGCCAGGACAGGCCACACGCGCTTCCCTCCAGGAAAACAGGCACTGGGAGCAGCACTTTGGCCCCTGTGAACCACAGGGGCCCGTCACCATGCCAAGGCAAGAGGCCACCCTGCTCCTTCCACCTACAGCCACGTTTGTGTTTAGGTTTTGTTATATTATATTATATTGTTAGTTATGTTATGTTATGTTATGTTATGTTATGTTATGTTATGTTATGTTATGTTATGTTATATTATACTGTGTTTAGGCTTTCTTAGCACAAGAAAGACATGGACCTGTTGGAGCGAGTCCAGAGGAGGACACAAAGATGATGGGAGAGCTGGAGCCCCTCTGCTGTGAGGACAGGCTGAGAGAGTTGATGGGGTTCAGCCTGGAGAAGAGAAGGCTCTGGGGAGACCTCAGAGCCCCTTCCAGTACCCAATGGGGGCCTACAAGAAGGTTGGGGAGGGACTTTTTACAAGGGTATGTAGTGATAGGATGAGGGGGAATGGCTTCAAACTGGAAGAGAGGAGATTTAGATCAGATATTAGGAAGAAATTATTTCCTGTGCGGGTGCTGAGCCCCTGGGGCAGGTTGCCCCGAGAAGCTGTGGCTGCCCCATCCCTGGAGGTGTTCAAGGCCAGGTTGGACGGGGCTTGGAGCAACCTGGGCTGGGGGAAAGTGGCCCTGCCCAGGGCAGGGGGGTTGGAACTGGATGATCTTCAAGGCCCCTTCCAACCCAAACCATTTTATGATTTTCTGATTTATCTTTTGGAGGGGACTCAGCTGCAACAGCGCGTTGTGACACCTCTCCGAGGTACGGGGCGCATCGCCGAGCGCTGCTCTTTACCCCCCTGTATGCAATAACTCGCCCTGTGGTTATGATTCGTATCTGCTGCACCGGTGAGCGCCGTGGACGGGCTCCGCGGGCTCCTGCGGGGCCTTTCGGGAGGGCACTCACCGGGCACGGAAAGCCCGAGGGAGGAGGAAACATCACCCCCGGGGGCGCCGGACCCGCTCCCCACCGCCCCCTCCC